AAACTTCAAAGATATCAAAGTTTCTTTTCCCTCTAAATATTTTAAACATCTACTATTTTCCCAAAGTCTATGAGTAATTCTCATGATTTCAATAATGACCAAAATAATTACATAAGTCACAGAGTAGCCCTGCTTTGTAAGGCTGATGTAGAATCTAGGTCATTTTTAACATTTCATTATTTTCTTCATTGTAACCTGTCAACATGTGTTGATTACTCAAAGTGAAGCCTTGCTTTTTTCTTTTTTTTTTTAAATCCAAGTCACTTTGACCATCTGGAAGAGCACGTTGCTCACAGCTGTGACATCTGTTGTAAGGTGCAGGGGCATTTCTCAGGTGAGCAGGCTGTCTGTACGTCAGCAGTGGTGTACTGCTGCTGGTGTACCCCCTGCTTTGCTGACTCTGCAACTTTTTTGCCGTCACCTGCATAATAAATTTCAGCAGTATCAACTGTTCAGGCTGTTTAATTAGGATCATATTTACATGATCAAGCAGAATATATTTTTATTTGTAAGTGAGAAATAAAGATTGTGTACGAACATTAAGTGTTGTTGTAGTGCAAGCATGTTTTTGTTTTTTTGTTGTCCCAAAAATATCTGCTTGGATAATTTAATTAGTAGGTTTGTTACAGAAATTGTTCACAAAGTATTTTACAGTTTAAAAAATTTCCTAGCAGATGTGATTCTGAAATGTGTGAATTAATTGATTTATGTATTTTATTGACATTTTTTTTTAAGTCATTACAAAATGTTTTGTTTAAATAAGACACATTAAAGAAGTTTGTAGTTTAAGGCTCTTGTTTCTCTGTGGAGTGATAGGATAGTGACCAGGAGAAGCCGATCAGCACGATGCTTAGAAAGATTAGAGGATAGGAACATTTAGCACACATGTTTCATCTTATTAAACAGATCAATGTGGCGATAGGCCTTTGCACTCATATTGATTTAGAAATGGATTTAAAGTCACTTTTCAGGAACCCAGAGGCCGTGAGTTTGTTTCAGATAAATAAATGGAAATAGTTGTGAAGACAGCGTAACATGTTGCTGGCTGTTCACAGTGATCATTGACATAGTTTAAAAATCCCTTCAGTCAGGATTAGCACCTGGCACAGCAAGAGGCATGTGCCGAGTCATATGGAGACGGGGAGGGAGGATTCACTCAGAGAAACAAGATCGTGCGTTTGGGGCAAACAAATGTTTCGCTTGAGTTTCACTAAACTGTGTCGGCTCAGAGTAGGTTCATACATCATTTAAATTTTCAGAAGCATTGAGTTAGAGGTGCTAATAGCTACGGTGAGGCAGGTGGTTTACGATGTAATGTTTGAACATGTGGGTCAGATAAACAAAGATCTGATTGGAAGCTACAACTTTAAACCTGAATTACACCAACACTTAAATAGCTGTTTCGTTTGATAATTCTTTTTAATTTTCAAAGACCAGCTTGAAGCAGAAGTTTTTATGTTTAACACTAAACGTTTTCCTTTTTCTATGCCCCCAGTTGGCTGAGTACCGCCAGAGAAAAGCTCACGCCGACTCCCAGAAGAAACAGAAAAAGAAGAAGAAAAAGAAGCCAGGCGAGGATTCGGAGGGGCATTCACAGGGAAGGGTGGAGGTCGAACTGAATCAGTCTGTGGGAGGAGAGGAGGTCACAGGTGGAGGACAAGATGGATCACAAGAAAGAAACAGAGACCCACACACCACGGAGTTTACCTTCACCAAGACGCTCAGGAGTGGAGACACTGTCAGGCATGACCAGACGTACAACATAGAGGTAGATACTAGTTTTATTGCCTTTTCTCAACTGTCACGCAAATATGCTCATAAGATCTCAGTGAGGACTCTGATTATTTTTAAGTTGCCACATCCTGAGTACAATTCTAATGTTACCTATTAATTTCCTTTCAGATATCAAACTTGTGATTTAGCTCTGATTTAGTGGAATGAATAGATAATGTTGCCCTGAACTGTGTCTCCAGCAACACTTATAATCAGAGTTTCTAAACAGTCTCTAAATTAAGCCTTTCAGGGGAATATTTAATTTTTTTGGCACAATCTATTAGCGGTTCGTCTATAGTCTTTTTT